CAAGAGGGCTTAAAAAGCAATTTGCTTTATAAAATACAGCAAAATCAGAGTACAGACAGTTTTATCTTAAAATTAAACAGAATATAACGGTAGTAGGGCGTTTTACCCCAAGGGGGCGTTAACTTGCTCTCTGTATTTGCTCACCTTGTCCATTTAAACACAAACCCAACCACAAAATATGCCTCTGCTGGCTGTGACAGATACCAGTGCAATTTAGGGAAGTAGTAGTACAACGTTACATGGCAGTTTCCACACATTGTTTCTTGCTTGAAGGGATGCAGACTCATCCGGGGGTCATATCTTTGACCCCCTCACTGTAAAAACTCAAAAGTTGAGAAAGCTCAAAAATCTACTACAAAAATAAGTTGAGAAAACTCAAAAATCTGCTGAAGCTGGTTGCCTTAAACTTTTAAGTTTTCTCAACTTTAGATTTTTTAGAAAAAAGTGTATTGATATCTTTTTTTTTAAACCAAACTTTGTTTGTTCACTTGGACATTGCTGTCCTCGTTTTAATGCATTGTGTTTCATTTTTCCTTTATCTTTTTCTGTTCTGTATCCCAGAACGTCTATCTAGCTATTCATTTTGGTCATGTGACCAAAGGTATACTCACTTTAAAATGAAATACATTTTTTAACTAATTTAAAATGCAAAACAAAAGTTGCATAAAAATGTTTAATTATTTGTAACAAATAAGCTTGATTATTTGCAATGTTTTATTAAAGATTTTCACAGAATTTCAGCGAAAAGGCACCCCCTATCCACTGCATACACTGCACCCCCTAAACATTGTGTCAACCAAAAATGTACACACATTTTTTTTGTGGGTGAACATCAACATTTCCATGATTCTTCATAAATAAGTACTAGTAAAAAGAGTAAGCTAGTAAAAAGTAGTAGTATATAATCAAGTCGAGGCTTTGAAGCAATCTTAACTGCTTCCAAAATAAAGCCTACCTAATGTTTCAACTGTTAAAATTGCTTTATTTCTTTTTAATCAATATAGGCTTTCTAAATTGATGGATTCAGGCTATTCAATACAGCAGGCTCACCATGGGACTGCATTTCTGTTTTTTGACAGAGCTGTTGCTTTTTATACTGCAAATAAGTAATTTCTAGGCTATTGCTTTGAGTGTTTCCTTTAATAACAGCCATTATAAGTCAACCATGTTGAGTTGGTTACGCGGTCAGATCATGGCAAAGGATGGGGTCAGTTCTGAAACACTATTGGACCTATGCTTCTGGTGTGCTTCTGCTATGCAGCCCTGCTCTGCCTACACATGCGGGCATTGTGACTATAGGCGGCAAAATTAATATATGCAGCTTACACACGTATGTGAAAACACACGCCTCAGCATGTATGAAGGACTTGGGGGTTCTATGTGTATATACACATTTGTCTTGTGACATGAACAATACATTTGTCAGTTCCTTTGTGATGTTCTTAAACAAAAACAATCTGTCCTGATCCTCTGAGAAAGCATCCTCTGACCTGTTTCCACACTCTTTCATCTATGGACAATGGACAATCTATGAAAAATGTACATCCTCATCATCATCATTTCTGCAATCTCATTCTGACATTCAATTTGAGAGCAAAGGGTGGCAAACCAGGAAAGCCTTTTGACCTTTCAGACACATTGTTTGGATTTGCTGTTTTTACATTTAGTCAAATACACTGGGAGGGGTTCAGTGTGCTCCATGAGATGAGTGAAATAAGCTGCACAGATTCTTACTTTAACAATGTAGACAGGTACAGTAGAGGACATTGTCAGGAGTGTGACCCACCCAATGACTTGAGAAAACTGAAATAAGTTCGTCATAATTCAACCTCTATCCATTTACATTTATTTATTTGGCAGACGCTTTTCTCCTAAGGGACTTACAATTGAGGAATACAACAAGGCAAGAGATATTAAGATGGCAATAAACACGCGAAGTGCTGTTACCCTTACGAAAAATAAGTTTATTCAAGTGTGCTATTAGTATACTTCTTTTAAGCTAAAAATTAGGAAAGTATACTTTTAGTCTACTTTTTATGTACTTCTCAGAAATGGGCTTTATGAACTTCTCAGAAATATACTTAAAATGACATTTAAGTATACTTGACCTATACTTAGAAAAAGTCTAAATATATTTGAGCTACTGTATACTTGTGCTCCTAGAATCTGTGTTTTCATTGTTATACTGTAGGGAGCGCTAGTACACATCTTCTGTACAGAATTTCCAAAAAACACAAGTGAAGAAGAAACCGAAACAACAGATGCTTCCACATGTATTCTAACACTATCATCAGACATAAAACAGCATCAAAACTGTGTAACTTTATGGAATAATATGTCGACCAATGAAGAGGTAATAATGACTGTGAAGCTTTGGGGTGTTGATCGACTCTAACTACGTTTTGGTTATCATTCTGAATCCAATTCAGTCTTTTTTTCAGCTTTTTGTTCAAAAAGTGGGCCTTTACAAGGCCTTGTACACTTACAAGTATACTACTAGTACACTGATATTTGTATACTTACTACATAAAGTATAGTTAAAATATATACTTGAACTTTACTTAAGTATACTTAATAAAATAAACTTGAAGTATACTACTTTTTGGTAAGGGTATACAAGGTTTCAGTCTTCGTTCAAAATAGTTAAAGCTAATTTAAGGATAATAAGAGAACAGAAAAAGTGAAGCTATCCAGTTCTGGATCATTACATGAGCTCCCTCTACTGCCAAACTGTCTATAATATGGTCCAGATAAAAAAATACAAGAACTTAAAATGAGTTATATGAGAAAAGATTGTTTCAGATATTGTACATAACGTAAGCAGATCTTACATTTATGTCTTTTTTTTAGAATCTGCCACTAAAATGTAAATTACTACAGAGCGACTGAGTAGTTGGAATGCAAGAACTTGTAGTTTCATCAGAAAATAAATTAAAACATCATGTTTGAAGACTGTTGGGTGGTTTTAAGAAATGGATGTTTAAGATGGAAGTAGAGCGCAGTCAAAAGGATAAACTAATGTAAATATGAATTTGCATAACTTTGAACATTTATAACCAGTGGTTTGAGAATTTGAATAGTCTACACTTTAACAATGAAAAGATACTCAAGGCATCATTGGATGATTCTCAGACTGCCACACTGGCCAAACCCTTTCCTATTCTATTGTGTACTTGATATGTACCATAATATGTCTCTTTAAGTGCCTCAAATCCATCCTTTTCTTTTTGACTGAGAAAAGATACTCCAAAGGTTTCCCTGATTGTTGCAATCTGAGAAATCACAAATGGTGCTATAGGAGTTTTAATACACAGTATGGCAAACGTATGTTGACACCCCTTTCTAACTAGCAGGTTTGGGTATTACAGTAATTCCTATGAAAATACATTTTAATACTACACCATACAATAACATGGAGTGGAACAAATTGCACAGGGCCTGCACAAGTCCACACCAGTTCCAGTGAAGCATTTCTATAAGGCCTTCCTCTGACCATTGACTTCCTTTGAATTTTTTGTCCATACAGTGAAAATCAATGGGAACAGAAGTGGTATTGTTACCGACTCAAAATATCTTATTTTGTGTTACACAGAAAAAAGTCACACAGGTTTGGAAAGACACAAGGGTGAGTGAAGGATGATAGAATTTGTATTTTTCGGTGGACTATACCTTTAGGGACTTTCACTTGTGCACAGTGACATTTTGAACAATCGGGGAGTACACAAAGTAATAAAAGAGTATACAAACTAATGAAACAATGAAATCAAACTGAAAAACTTTTATATAAAAAACAATCATACATCTAAAACATCAACTATCTTTTTCAACAGTAAAGATGTCCTAACAACTTTACTATTGTTCTGCATCGAGATCATAAAAAAGACCTTTAAAGGGGTCATATGATGCTTTTTTAAAGATCATTATTTTGTGTATTTGGTGTAACAGAATATGTTGACATACTTTAATGTTCAAAAAAAACATTATTTTTCAAATACTGTACATTACTGTAGGTCCTCTATGCCCCGCCTCTCTCAAAAATGCTTAGTTTTCTACAAAGTCCCTCCTTCCGACAAGCGCAGTCTGCTCTGATTGGCCAGCTGACCCAGTGCATTGTGATTGGCCGAACACCGCAAGCACTCGTCGGAAATGTAACGCCTCTTACCATAATCGCGAGCACACCATGCGCAAAACTCCGCATTTGAACAGTCAGTAGCAAATACTTAAACTAATAACAAAACAGTAGCTGATTCAGAAGCTCCAGACTGTCATAGCAAAGTCAGAATTACCTCCTCTCCTAGGTTCACAAACGGTCGTCCAGAAAATGCATTGCTGTTCTGTTGTAAGTAATCTTCAAGATTCCTAAATGCATCTACTTCCGGAAGGCCAAATAAAGTGCTTTTGCTTTCACCTAGAAACACACAGCGTCTCCCTGACATGGCTGCTTCAACACTAACTGCAGTTACTGAAACCACGCCTTCTTTCTTTGCGAGCACATTTGGGCGGCATTATGCTAATATTTCCACATAGTGACATAGATATGTGGGATCCGTTTTAGGGGGGCGTGGCAGAGTCTTAACTTTGATAAAGAATATCTCTTTGGTTTTGAGACTTTAGTCTTTGCAACGTCAGGGATCTTATCCATGCACAATCAGCTTGTAACACTCCAAAGAGAAAGGAAAACTTGAAATCGCATCATATGACCCCTTTAAGTCCGTGGAAACCAGCCATTTAGTACAGCTGACATGCGTTTTGCTATGTGTATGATAAAAGCAGATGTGCACAGTGACAATGTCATGCTGGAATAGAGAAGGACCCTTCTTAAAATGCTGCCACAAAGTTAAAAACTGACATTCTCTAGAGTGTCATTGTAACATCAAGATTTGTACTAGATATTAGTGGAATAGACAAACGTGTTAATTAGAAGGGGGTGTCCAGATACTTTTTTTTTTTTGCCACAGTGTATATTTTAGATCATATTAACTTTAAATTGTGTTCTTTTAAAGAGTGTTTATGGGTTTCGTCATTGTACACTGAATAAAGTACTAAAATTATATAGCAAAGAATGTGGAACAGAGAAAATCACTGCATACGCTTTGTTTCATTAGCGACAGATGTCGCTGCGGTATCGCTGGACGCGGTGCGGGTTTGTCGCGCAGTCGGCTGCAAACGCTCCTGTTTCAGGTGATGCTGTTTTTTGACCCCTTCCGGTCTCCGTACATTTCTGTGTTATGACGTCATCTGGTCGGACGGACGGGAGCCCGAGAAACTTTGAACTTGTTTGGAAACTGGATGCAACGTTGTTTCCCCCTCAGTTTTCAGCTGGATTTACTCGGTGGGTCTTACACATGGACCAGAAAAGGAGCATCGTTGCTGTGCAGCGTGTGAACTTTAGACTTCTCTGGACCAGCATGTGAGCTTGAACAAATAAGTAATTAAATCAGATCGGGGAGGACATGGACGAACGAGAAGGTGAGGATTGCGCGAACGATTTTTACGCTTCGTCCAGTAAATGTTTACTTGAGCTCCTTTAAAACTTACCAGTTCTTTATGTTAAGTCTGTCACAGTTCATAGACACAAGTTAGTTAAGTTGCAACAGAAACGAACAAGTCGGGTCGCTCGTTTTTTTTTTGTATGTGTATTTGGCGTTTCCCGATAAACAACAGTGTTATCTGAATTTGAATATGTTTCGTATATTTCTAATTAATTTGAAGGTTTTCTTTAATAATCGTTTAGAAGTGTTTTGTACTGGCTTGTGATCTCACAACAAGTAAATAAACAGCTAAAATGGACCGCAGCTGTAACCTGTTTTTCATTGCAGAACGTTCTAGAGACATATTTTTAAAGCAGAGTTAGTTAGATAAAATCCATTGCATTTAGATGAGGTTTTAATGGTTTAAATGCCCAAATTGATTAAATGTAAAGACACAGCAGCGCGAGATTACGTAATGTGAAACTTCAGCTCGTGCTCGCAAGTTTAAAAACAAAATACGCCGAATTGAAAGTTAAATGTCTGGGGCTTCCCATGTAAACAAACATGATCTGAGCCTTCCTCTGATTTGTGATTGACAGATATGACAGAGCGCGGGTGCACGGGCTGTGGCGGGAGGATTCGGGACGCCTTTCATGTGAAGGTTCTTCAAGACGCCTGGCACAACTCTTGCTTTCAGTGGGTCCTACCTTGATTTCTCTTTAAACTGAGCCAGACTGCTCAGGAATGGGGCGAAATAAACAAAAACGCGTTTGATTGCTTTTCTTGGATTTGCCTACTTCTTTTTAAATCTTCACCCTGCTAAAAAATGCACCTTAAACCTGTCTAACATGGCTCGCTGACCTTAATTGGTCTCCCAGCCTTGTCTGTTGGCTGGTTAGAGGGATTTTAAGGATGGATGTCCAGCTGAGCACCAGCCTTACCAGGCTGTAGACCAGCATGAACCAGCTAAGCTTTAAAGGAACACTCCACTATTTTTGAAAATAGGCTCATTTTCCAACTCCCCTAGAGTTAAACAGTTGAGTTTTACCGTTTTCGAATCCATTCAGCCGATCTACGGGTCTGGCGGTAGCACTTTTAACTGTAGCTTAGCATAGATCATTGAATCTGATTAGACCGTTAGCATCTCGCTCAAAAATGACCAAAGAGTTTCGATATTTTTCCTATTTAAAACTTGACTCTTCTGTAGTTACAGCGTGTACTAAGACCGACGGAAAATGAAAAGTTGCGATTTTCTAGGCCGATATGGCTAGGAACTATACTCTCATTCCGGCGTAATAATCAAGGAACTTTG